CCTCAAAGTTTCCACACCAATGAAGTGTCTCCTATTGCCGTGAGCTCGGCACAAATGCAAGAAAGAACCCCTACCATAATCAGAACGTCGGGTTACCTTTCTACCAACACACTTTCTCCATCTGTTGCGGGCTTCTAGGACTTCACACCAACGGGATTTGGTTACAACCCACCAATGCCTAGAGCAATCCCCAACTGCGAAAACCACATACCTATTACCTCCCAATAATGATCCCTTGGAAGGCTCCCGAATGCCTGAATGAACACCCCTCAGAAAACCCCTCAAATGATGGATAGAAGTACCAAACTCCACCTCGATCTTCTCGCTCATACCAATGGGTTCACAGGACTTCAAACTGCAGGTCAAAGCACTCCTCAAAAATCTATGCACGACATTTCTACTCAAATAACCCAGCATCAAACAACGCCACAGTCTAGCCGAATCTGATGAAGTCATCATCTCCCTATCAATCGTCGTGTTTCTGAGTAAATAATACAAATTGCTCCTTCTGACGCCCTTCATAACAATCATAGACCCCAATGTGACCTTCAAACGTGCATCCTCCAAGGTCACTTTATAGCCAGATGCCACCAAAGCTCCTAGTGAAATGATGTTCTTCGACAACTGCGGAACGAACCTCACTCCTTCCAACTCCTGAATCACTCCGTCATACATCTGAATACGAACGGTACCAATACCACCAATAGAGCATGCATGTTCATTACCCATGAGCACAACATCCTCTCTTTCTAACTTCTAAAAGCTAGAGAACCAATCCCTCCTAGGGCATACGTGGTATGAAGAACCCGAATCCAACATCCACTCTGTAGAGTTGGCAACACAAACTGACGGCAGTGCAGACAATGAATAGCCCAAAGAATCTGAATCTGAATTGTTGCCACTAGTCTTGACAACATTCACCTCTGAAGCTTGTACAACTTTCCCCTTATTCTTCTCGGCTCGATCTAACTTTGGGCATTCAGCTTTTCAATGTCCATCATCTTTACAAAAGGCACACTGATTCCTACGAATCCCACGATGTGCACCTCTAGACTGCGACCTCCTACTTCGGTTTGAACCATGACTATGAACTACTAATGCATCTCCCGATGCCTTCTCGGAGGACTCATCAACACTCTTCCTTAACTCATAATTCACCAACACTGAGGTCACCTCCTTGTAACTAACAGTAGTTCTTCCATTAATCATAGTTAGGACAAATATACCATAATCATCATCGGGCAACGAACACAAAAGTAACATCGCCTTGTCTTCATCCTCAACCATGATATCCACATTAACCATGTCTGAAAGTAGCTTTGTGAAGTTGTTAACATGCTCCCTAATGGAAACTCCCCTTTTTATCTTGAACTGATAAAACATCTTCTTCAAGTGAAGCCGATTCTCAATGTTCTTAGTAAGATACTTTTTATTGAGTGTTTCCCACATCTTTTTCACCGAAGTCTCGTTCATCACATTATAAATAAGATCTGGTATCAAGCATGACCGAATAACTCCACACGCCCTACTTTTCATCTTCTTCCAAACCTTAGCTTCCATCTCGGCAGGTTTCTCTTGTAACTCAAGAGTCTCCTCTAAATTTTGAGCGTCCAACGCATCCATCACCTGGCACCTCCACAAACCGAAATTGATCTTACCATCAAACTTCGGAACATCGATCTTCATGTTATTGATGCTCAAACTATGTATCGTCTTCGTAATAGACGATCCCGATGTGCTTGCTTCACCCATGTTGTCGATCTAAATCTTCAAATAGGAATCCTTCAGCGAATCCTTCAAACAAGTCTCAAGTTGAACCTGAAGCTCTGATACCAATTGTTGTGTCCGGCGCAGAAGCGGTCGAATCACACAATCCAAACAAGAGAGATCACAACCAAATAAACAAGCACAATCACCAATTAACACAAGAGATTTACGTGGTTCGGCAAATTGCCTACGTCCACGGGGCAAGAAAGGGGATGAGGTTTCCACTAATAAAGAAAGAGTATAAAATTAAGATTACAAATCACTCGAAGGAACAAACTAATCTCACCAACAAGCTCTTAATCTCTCCAAACAAAACCCTAAACAAATAGCTCAGAAAATACCTCTTTTCTGTGCTCCAAATATCCCCAATTTTTTCTCTCCAAATTCTCTCTTCCAATTGTTCCATATATATAGAAATCCTAAAATCATAAACATACTAGGAATTCTAAACCAAAAACCAAATCAAATTAGGAATCCTAATAACCTATTACCAAAATAGATTAGGAATCCTAATAACCTCATGTTACCAAAATAGATTAGGAATCCTAATAACCTTATGTTACCAAAATAGATTAGGAATCCACTATCCAACAAAATATATATATTTTTTGCAAACAAGTATGATAATAATTTTGAGCAAGAAAAATGATAACGATCATGGACTTGAATGGTCAATTAAACTAAGTGATCATTAAAAGATCTTAGCTCACTAGCTCATGATATCACCACCTGCACTCACACGTAAATTTAACTCAATTCTTGTGGTCCTCAAATTATAAGACCAATGCTTGACCACCAAATATACACTCTCAAAATACCAAGGTCTTGGTCAAATCCCTAGATCACAGGGCTCTCACTTGGTCCACCAATAAAAATTGGATGTATTTAGACAGATTATATATTATTATAGCATATAAAAAAAATATTTTAATTTTTCTATGATCACTCGATTGAATAAGTGCCTTTTAAATTACCATTAACAAAAATTTATCCATATTTTAGGAGGACCTGAATCATATAAGTTTAGGTATATTCTGAATCATGGATAATATTTGATAACTGAGTTCAATCGCCTCTCAATGACCATCTTAACTTTTGAGCACTGGTGTAGCATAAGGAAACTTTAAGATGATATAAGAGCAAATCATGCATGTTCAAACTCTATCAGACGCATTTCAAAAGGGATTAAGATCCTCTCCAGTATCAAAAAAGCAGTGAAAGAACACAACTAATTAATCATAACTATTAATTATCTAGTGAATAGTTATAATTTTCTCTTTGAGTGCAATTAGGAATGAGTGCAATAGACGGAGAGACGATCAGTGTTAGATATTATATATGATCACCCACTAGATAATTAACGATTGAGATTAAAAGTAGTGGTCTATCTGCTACTTTTTTGTAGTGGAGATGATCCAAATTATTTCAAAATACCATTAAAATTTTCATCGAACTTTAAAATTTTATCTTATTGCGTAATTAGAAAAACATGATCCAAAAAAATTATATACAGCATAAATTATAGTCTTTACCATAAGTTCAGAGCTTTTACAAGGACGCATATACACACAATTATATAACACACATTTATTGATTTATGTAACTCAGATAACTCCCAGTCATTTTCAAGGAAAATCATGGCCATCAAAAGCGACGTTCGCCGTGCTTTTGATTCAATTTCTTGTCCTTTACTCTCTTATTATTTAGGAAATAGGTTGGTTGGTTGGAAATGGGGTTAGCTACGTTTGGTCAGAATTAGAGTAAGCGAAAATGTTAATTTTTATGAGCCATGCAAAAATATACATTAGATATTACTTAATTACTGTGTAGCAAATAGGGTAATTCTTTTTCTGAAACAAAGGGGGCAAAAATCCTGAAAAAAAATCATCCCAGCATCAAGATTTGACTGAAATTACCTCGTCCTTTCATAGCAAACAGCTCCCAATATTGTTTCGTTGCGATCATCTTTTTTCTGACGTGACACGATCGTTACAAATTACAATCGACGATCGGAATCCGATCAATACGATGTAGACCTCCTCCAAAATTTTGATTACGCACGTATCTCTTCTTCATCTTCTCATATACATCATAATTAATTCTCCTTCTTATTTTTCTTTCTATTCCCATAATCTACCTTTTATCCATCTATTAATTACTATCGAGTAGTTAGAGCACACCTCTTCTAAAATATATGGGAGGCGTTACAGTCACACCCCAACCATACCCCCAACCACACTCCTCTCTCGCTACAGTGTACTAGGGCCCACATGAGAATTTAAAAAAAAAAATTCTCATGTGAACCCCAGTGCACTGTAACGAGAGAGGGGTATAATCGGAGGTATGGTTACTAGGTGTGCCTCTAGCATTTCCTAATATATATTTATAAGAAATGATAGGGGCACACCCTTGTACACACCACCAACAACACTCCCTCACTATCTACAGTGCAGGGGCCCCACATGTGATTTTTTTAAAAAAAATCACATGTGGGGCCCTGCGTTGTAGATAGAGAGGGAGTTTGGTCGGTGGTGTGCCCAAGGGTGCGTCCCTAACACCCCTCTATATTTATATAATTACACACATGGGTCAACTTGTCTCCATGCTCACCAACCTCCCACTACAAAAACCCCCCCTCCCCCTGCTCCTAGTCTCATGCATGTACATCATACACTCTCTCAATCCTACCCAAAAACTCACCAGCCACAAACAAACCCCCACCATGACTCCTCCTCCTCTTCCTACCAATGCTACCACCACGGAGGCCGCTCCCCCTCCCCAACCACACCCTTCCCTCCTCCGCTCCCGCCTCTGCTCCGCCTCCGCTCGCCCGCCTGCACCCTCGTCGCCGCCGCCCCTCTACTCCCTCACCCCCTCCGCCGCCACCTCAAGTTCCGCCGCTTCGCCTACGTCACGTCGTTCCTCATCGTCAGCGACGCCACCTCGGGGACGCCTGAGCGGGCGCCGTCTCGCCTCTACGGCACTGTTCTAGGCCTTCTCCGGCGATGGCGGACGTTCCACGTCATGCAGCCGCAGAATATGTCCGCGCCACGCGGCCATCGCGTGGCGATCAGCTCGTATCGGTGGCCTTGTCGGACTCGACGGGCTGATCGCGAAGAGGGTGGGCGCTCGGGCAGATCGTGATCGTTTACTGACGGCGTTCAAGGAGGCGGAGGCCCGCGGTGGGAGGGTTGTGTTGATCCGGTGCCGGTGGGGCTAGTAACGGCGGGGCTCTGGCTGCCTGTTCTTGCCTTGGTGCTTCCTTATCCTAGGCTTGCGTGCCTTGAGGTGATTAATTACTAGTTAATTAAGTAATTAAGTGCTATTAAAATTAATTTTAGCTAGTACTAAAAAAAAATCTGAAGTTGTGGCTATAAAAGTTTGTGAGTTTTTGGAGAAATATTTCTTTGGTATACATTTCACGCCATAACTCGGGGGCCATTTGATGTTTTCTCATATTGAGAACAAATATCTTGTTAGATTAGTATGCGAGCAGAGTATTCTGAGTCACATCCAAAATAATTGGAAACTTCAAATTGTCCATTGTCCTTCTCCTATAGTTCATAGCAGCACCTTGGTTATATGAAAGATATTATGATAAGATTTTTACTCATAAATTTATAATTTGAGATGCATGGTTTTCTAAGTTGAAGTATCAATGTGATTGGTAAATTTGAATGTAACAATTGAAGTGTTAGTAGAATCAGTATATATATGATTTTATCCTTCTGTGTTTATTTCCTATATTCTATATGATTTTTCTATAGAGCTTTCTAGATGAACACGTGTCCAGTGAATATTATATTTTTTATGACAAACTTAGCTAATTCCTTCTTGAACTATTGGTGAGATCTCTTAAATTCACTCCTAAAGTATCAACATATCTATTTTGTCCTTCAAACTATGCTTATGATTTTGTTCCAAAAAAACCTATGCATGTGATTTCAATGTGATCATTTTGTGAGCCTACATGCAAATATTTTACGGAACGATGAGGTGACAATATTTTTTGTATTTCTTTATGTGTTTTTATTGGTAAGTCTCCTTTTTTCCCAAACTAAAAAAATATTTTCCACTACTTTCTCTAAACATTTTTACCATATAATCCTTATGAATAAAAAATTGTTATTTTTGAATTGCATAGTTTACATGAAAAAAATAGACAAATTAATATTTAAGGGAGCAACTTTGATCAGCAGAGTCATAAATACTTGAAGGACGAAATGATTATTTTGTCCTATTTACACTGGCACTAGCTTAATGACTAATAATCCCCTGAATACGAGCCTTTCTCAAAAAGGCTATACATGACCCAGCAGGGCCAGCACGCCACAAATTTGTTCGTTGTTGGCTCTGAATTTGAGTCCAGTAGCTTATAATATATTTATCATATGCTTTCACTTTCCAAATCCTCTCCCATAATATCATGTGGCCGATAATATTCAACATGCAATTAATTGTGGTTTCTATATATATATATATATATAGAGAGAGAGAGAGAAAACGGGAGGTGAGCTGACAGCGTAGGAAATTATATATATATCATATGCTTTCACTTTCCAAATCCTCTCCCATAATATCATGTGGCCGATAATATTCAACATGCAATTAATTGTGGTTTCTATATATACATATAGTGTACTTAGAAATAGGATGAATATATCGAATAAATCTTTTTAAAGAAAAACGCACCACCTTTAGCTTAACAAAGGTGGATTAAAGGTGGTGACCTTCTAAATTAATTCAGTCTTATTCATGCCCCACTTTCCTGATCTCTATTACTATGCACTTAAACAAGTATCATTAACCATAAAAATAAAATAAATAAAAATAAAAAGGTATCATAGGTTGCACTTGCATGAATGTGAGACGTGCAAAACTGTTTTTTTTAAAAAAATATTTTTCTTCTATCATTAAAATTATCTTTTTCCCACTCATACTCTCCGTCTAATGCATTATTATTTCTTTCTTTTCCAAAACAATTCTTTTACTATTTTTATTTTCTTCTTTCCAATTTTAGTTTTTTTCATGGAATTAATTAGATCTAGCTAGATGGAGGATTACTTAATTCCTATTTAATTCAACATCATTTCATTAATCTTTGAATATGTTTACATTGTCTACTCTTTGATTGTTAGCTAAATCATACCTTAATAGCTACTAATTATATATTTACTCTTTAACATGTCCTCATTTCATTTAAAAAACAAGAAAAAAAAAAGACAAAAAGCAATATGGTGTCTAAGACAATATATGGTGTGCAAAGAAAAAGATAACAAGTGATCTCAAGTAGGTAAGCATCAACATAGATCAAAGGTTTCCCTTCAATTTGGGAACAATATGATTTCACATCAACCACTACATGTTTTTTTTTTTTTTTTGTTAGTTCATCAATCACTATTTCATGTGGCATTTTGGGAGTTAGGTATAGCCTCATACGGTTACTAGGACCATCAATAGCAAATATATATCAAGTTTGTTAGCAACTCTACCAATTTCAATTCATGCGTCTCCATCTCTGGGATATTAAGTTAGCTAGACTTGACCTTACTAGGATTCGGGCTTGTGGCTCACGTACACGGACCACATCCCTTGCTAGCTTGGTATGTGAAACTCAAGAACGCAACGTATACGTACGTAGACACAATTTTTGGCCAACAATTACGGGATAAATTATGCAATTTCTCTAGAATTTATTTTCTAAGTTATTATTA